CCCCTCCACCAAGCTGCCCAGGTGAACCTGTTCAACCAACCCACGTTTGTATTTCAGCAGAAAAAAAGGAATATTTCACCCCAAATATTTCACCGAGCTGCCCAGGCTGCCCCTTGCAGCACATGAAGCCGGCACCACTTGCCTCAACCTACCTGTCATTTCTCTTTGCCCTGCAGACAGACTAGCCCTGCTGCCTCATCTCTGGAGCCTCCTGGGGTCCCGAACAAGGGTCCCCTGGTGCCGTCCGGCCGTGAGCAGACTAGACCGAAACCCACGGGGCTCGGAGCAGCCGCCGAGCCCCGAGAGCGGAGGAGGATACCGGCGACCTGGACGGCACCAGCATGTCTGTGGCAGGCTCCAAGGAGCCTCGCTGGGGTTTGTTTATGGGGAATTTCCCTGGGATGGAAAACCCACAAGGTCTCTGAGCTTGGTCACAGCATACGGGCTTGGGCGGGAGGGGCAAAGTCTTTGGGGAGACTGGGTTTTAAAGCGGGCAGTTCCCAGCCAGCCCCCAGATGCAGGCTGGTGCATCCCAGGGTCTTGGCCCCATTGCACTGGGAGACAGACCAAGCACTGGGTTGGGCTTGCACGGCCAACACACCCCAGACACACCGTAGTCTGCTGACACTGCTCCCAGCCCTCCTCCGCGGCAGCCCGCGGAGTCAAGGGGACCGTGGTCCCGGGGAGACAAGAGCCTGCCTCCTCTGGGAAATCCTATGAAATATGAACTTTCATTTCTACCCAGGAGAACTTTTACGATTTCCCCCCGATGCCCGATGAAGGGTGTTTGTGACCGAAAGCTTGCGATGAAAGAATTTTTTTTTTTTTTTTTTTTGCAAAAATCTTCTCGGTCTAATAGAAGTGATCATCTGTGTCCGCGGGTCCCGATTGCTGCGGGGAAGGAATTCCAAGCTGCCCAAAAACCAGCCGCCCCACGGCAGGCGATTCGTGGGAGCTTGCTGCCACCTGGCGGCCAACACGCCAGCCCCGCTCGCCCCCAGCACCCTCGCACGTGGGCCACGCGACGTGCCGCCACGACGGGGTCCCACGCCCAGAGGCCAAGCTCATTGGGAAAAGAGAAACGTGCACGGGATAACGAGGGGCCCAGGCTGCCACCCTTCCCACCGCAGCGCCGCGGCACAAGGGAGCTGGGGTCTCAAGCTGGTCGCGACAAAACACCTCTTGGACGGGGAAGGAAAGTCCCAGGGGGAAGTGCTTGGAGGGGAGACGCTGCCGTCACCGGGACACTGAAGCCACGTGCTTTGGCTCATCAGCCACCCGCCTGGAAGCCAAAATGTTGATCCCGCTCTCCACCAACTCCACCTGCCACCTGTCGACAGCCCGAGGCCTCCTGCCCACGTGGACAACAGGAATGTCGAGGATATTAAAATCCCCCCCCCCAAAATTTCAGCTGTGGGAAGGGGGCATTTTCTGTGCAGAAGTCGTTCTGGTGCAAAGCTCCCAACCGGGCGGGCTCGCTGGTCCCAGCGCACCCTCCGCGCAGGGACTCGGGCACAGCAGAGCCCCATGCAGCCGGCCGAGCTCTGCAAGCGCCTGCAAGGCTGCTCGGGCTCAGGGAAGTGGCAGCGTTCGGCTGACGGCACGGAGCTCCTTGCAACCGAACGCTTCGACTTGGCTCATCCAGAGGCTGGAGAGCCCCAGGCGGTCGCATCTGCCGTGCAGGCAGGCTCTCGACCGCTTTGAGACGTGCGTTTGCAGCTCAGGTGGGGGCATCAGGGCGCGATGGACCCCAGGGCCCTGATCCTCAGGTGTGGGGCTCAGGGCAGGCAGCACATCCTTGCTTTCCCCGCTCAGAAAGGCTGCTCGGATTCAGGGTGAGCATTGCACGTGGACAGAGCTCCCGGGACCGCGACCGCCAGGGCTGCAAGCAGCGGGACACACACGGTCCTGCTGTCACTAGAGCAGCCCCATACCCCAGCTCGGCAGACCCGTGACCCACCTAGCATGGGGCAGGAGACAACGTGCGTGCTGCAACCGTGTCCAGGCAGCTGCCGGCACACACACGTCCCAGCTGCGTGGCTGGACGGAGACCCTGGGGGTCAAGGGCCATCCCAGCCTCCGGCACAACCCCGCTCTCCCAGCGCCTGCCTGGGGTCCCAGTCTCCCAGGAGCCGCCCCAGGGAGGGACGCCGGGCCTGGCGGCAGGCAGGCAGCAAACCTCGGTGCTCCCCCGCCCTCCCGAACGGCGTGGGAGCTGGGCGCGCAGCGCATGCCCTGCCTTCCTGGAAGAGCCGGCAGATGACAGGTTCTCACCGACGCCCCCAGAAAGGGCCTGAAATAAAACTCGCTTTCGAAGGCGCTCGTTAAAAAGCAATCAGATGACACGTCTCTGCTCCGTCTCCCCGGGCTGGAGGGGCGGCTTGGCGCTTCCCCCATGCCTTTAGGTGTCAAAGGCTTTCCCCAGCGTGCTCTGGGAAGCTTGGCACCTACATGTCACCACTGCATGGGGACTTAGGAGAGAGGGCTTTTCCTGGGAAAGGTTTTGACCAACTTTTTTTTTGGTTTTTCCGGTTACGATTTTCCCTTGGACTGTGCCAGCTCCGCTGGAAAAGAGAAAAAAGAAAAGAAGAGAACAAACGCCCCCACGTTTTTCATCACAAAGCTGAATATTCCCCACACAAAGTGGTGCCGTTCGTGGACACGGCATTTCCCAGGACACTTCCAGACCGAACGGTGCAGCCGGGAGCACGGGAACTCGCCCATCTCCCAGCAGGAGACCTCCAGGCCTGACTTAGAGGCTCCTGGAGGTGGGGGATCCCCCTGCCCCTGGCAGCACTAGAGAGGCAGCCCTGATGCTCGGCTTTGCAGCCCACGCTCAACTCCTGCCTTGGCCCGACGGGCTGCAGAGACCTCCGCCCGCCGGAGGGATTCTCAGCACGAAGCTACGATCCGCTCAGAGGAACAGATCGAGTCTCTCACTGCCAGGACGGTTTTCCCTAAGAAGTGCTTGTGCCTCTTGATTTTGGCATGCACACGCATGCACACAACACACACATGCCCATTACTGCATCCCGGGAAGGGCAAGTCCAGATGCCAGGCCCCCACAGCTGTGCTTGCTCCAAGCTGCAAGGACTTGTTCCCCTCAATTGCTTGGGTCAGTCCTGTGGCCCGTGACACGACCGGGTCTCCAGGCCGTTGCAAACACCGAGTAGCCCCGAGGGGCACAGAGCACCTTTGCCTTCAGCAGACACGGCAGCCCTGCTCTACCCAGCCCGGGGGTCTCAAATGAGTCAAGGGACGTGCGTCAGATGGAGGAGGGAGGGCACAACGTGGGCGCACAAGGGAACAGGGTGCTCCAAGGCTTCCTGCTGCTCCAGCTGCCTGGGCTTTGCTCCAAGGCCGTGCTCCCGGAGCACGAGCACAACCCGGACCGCAGCAGCCTGCCCCCGAGCCGGCGGACGGAGCCTGCGCTGTATTCGGGAAGCAGAGCTCGGGTCACCCACCCACACACCGTCCAGCCCCAGCGGCTGGCCACTAAGCAGGGACCGCCGGGCAGCACACGGCCACGGACCCCTCCCAGAAGCCAGAGCCACGTGGCAGGACGGCACCAGTGTCATCCGTGGAAGACGAGGCTGGCCCTAGAGGCAGGGAAACGGGTCTCTACATCCCACCCCACGGCTTTGATTCCTGCTTGTAATATGGTTTTATACCACCCCCCCCCCATGTTGCATGGGTCACCCCGTCACCCAGACCACCCAGGAACACCGTGCCATCCGCATCGGTCCGAACCCTCCTGCTGGGTCACCGCCAGCCCGGCTCACGGTCAGTCTGCACCTGCCATGGGTGTCCGTCTCCCCCAGCATGTCAGGGGTTGCCCCCCTCCGCTCCTCAAGCCCTGACACTGCTACCAGAGCCACCACGCGCTGTCCTCCGGCCCCCTCCGAAGGTCATATTTGCAGTAGGGTCGGGTATTAGAGAGGTCAAAAATTGTAAAAAAACTGCCAATGACACACAGAAAAAGCCCAAACTTTCCATTAAGAAATGTGTCAAAAACCAATTTAAAAGATCATATTTCTGTCCAGAAAACTACAAAAAAAAAAGTAGGGTTTTGGGGGGTTTTTCTTGTAAAATTGCTATAATCTTTGACTGGTCAAAAAGACGCAGACAACTGACCGGTCAATTGACTATATTTGATGGTCAACTGACCAGCTTGCAACCCCTCTGCCTTCGTCCTCCGACATCCTCGGCATTGCACTGTCCTGAGCGCCAGGGACCACGAGAGGGCACTGGCGCTCCACGTTTTTCTCCCAGCGATGCCTGTGCTCCCTGCAATTTCTCCCATTTGGAAAGCATGAAGGGATAAAGTCCAGCCTGTGCATCAACACCAGCATCAGCCTGCAGGTAACCGGCACGGCCCTGAGGCTCCCATGCCCGCGGGGCTGCAGGACCACTCTGGAGGGCGACGCTGCAGGGGATGCACCGGGAGAATCGGGGTTGTTGCTCCAGTTTGCATTGTATTCCCACCTAGAGACAAACCCATAGCAAAGGCAGACCCTCCCCACAGACCTTGGGATTTCAGTTTGCTGCGTCCCAGCTGCAAACAGGGGCTGGGGCAGGCGGTTTGGGGTCATTCGTTTGCTAAACAGGATTGGGAAGAGATGCTGCAAAGTCTTGCCAGTAAGGAAAAGGAGCAGTAAGTAGGCTACGCGGTACAGGGCTCCAGGTGCTAGGGACAGAGCACGGGCACACTCGTTTTCATGTCAAAATGCCAACAGCTGGGCCGTGCAATGCTGAGAGGCATGGTGATAGCCTTCATTGGCCCCACCGCACGGGTGAAAGAGGAGCTGAGGAAGGAGGAGCAGATACAGGCTCAGTTGGCTAACACAAGACAGGCTCTGTGGGTACAGCTGGTCCATAAAAGACATCCCCAGACCCCCTCGCCTCTCGTACACATCTTGGGTCCTCACCCCAACACCCCCTGCAATACCAAGGTGCAAAGAGCACCGGGGCCTCGTGCTTTGCTGTGGGCATGAGCCTACCTAGGACGGTGAGGACGTCCTTCTCGATGTCGGCCTTGATGTATATCCGGCCCCTGCGCTCGGTGTGGTCTGTCCCGCACAGACTGGGCACGTTCATCACGCAGCGCTTGTGCACGTTCATCATGCAGGCTGCACGGGAGAAAGCGGGCGTTACTCAGGCAGGTTGTGTTCGCCAGGGCTGGGCCCAGGGGGATGCCCAGGGAAGGCAAAGGGGGGGCAGGAGGAGACTTCTTCGAGCTGGGCATGTCTGTGGGGGACACAAGGACAGGCAGGGGCTCTGCTCCTCCAAACGGACCTGGTGTGAGCTCCCCATGGGTAGCTTTGGTAGGGCCCTGTGTGCGTGTGCACACGCATGTGCATGCGTGCATGATGATGAGAGGCATTGATTGTGCAGCATGAATACTTCCGCAGGTGCCATGCTGCAGCAGATTGTTAACAAGCTGCTCCTGTAACCAAATCGGCACGTTTTGATCTTTCGGGAGCCACCGGCTCGTCTCAAACACTGGGCCACGCTATTCCCTGCAGATTCAGCCATTCCCCCAGGAAAGCTGGCTCCGCGGCATCACTCCTTCCGTGAGCTGCGAGCTCTCCCCCCGCGAGACAGCCCCATCGCTAAACCCACTGAGAAAAACCTCTCCCTGCTTCTCCCCTCTGCAGACCAGCAGCAAGAGCGTGCTTTCTAGAAGGGGCTGCTGCAAAGCCGTGCAAACCGCAGGACGTCTCGTCTCTGCAGCGAGACGGCCACGGGGTGTCACCCGCAGCCCGCACATGCGAGCGCGCCTCTCACGCTCGGCTGCTTCGCATCAGGGCAGGCGTTCCCCGTCCCCGCATCGAGCTGAAATCCCTCCTCTGCCCGAGCTCCAGACCGAGCTCCTTGACCTTCTTGGACACGTTTCTCCGGAGGGCTGGAGGACCGGACGGCAGAAAGAAATAAAATGCAGGCTGGAAAAACCCGGTCTGTCCTTTCCTTTTCATTAGGTTTAGGGAATCCTATGTCATTTATCTGCACGGCTGGTCCTTTGCTCCCCTTCTCATCTGCCCAGCTCTCCCCAGCGGCCAGGGGTAAGCGTGGTCCGAGGAGCCTGCATGTCCTCTGGGGGCAGGACAAGGAGCTTGATGCTTGCTGGTGACCCCAGGACCCCTGCCTCATCCTGTACCTTGGCTGGGACCTGGGAACGGCTCTCCTCCCCTCCCCGGCTCCTCCGCACAGGCCTTCACTTACTGTCGCATTTCATCCCTTGGTGAATGAGGCCGTACAGCAACGAGCCGCAGTGGTCGCAGAAGGTGGGGCTGGAGTACGTGTGGATTTTAAATTTGTGCTTGCTCCTCGGGTCCTGAAAGGGAAACGAGAGAGAAAGAGAGCGTAAAGACAGAGTCTGGACTCGTACCATGTACCAGCCCGGGACCACCACCCCGCGCCTTCCCGACCCTCGCAGACGGGATGGCAGGGTTTCAACCAACTCCCACGAACTTCAGCAGAAGCTGGAGCGGGTCACAACGATCCAGCTATCTTTAATGAAAGGAACGAGCAAAGCGGCTTTACCGACCGGATCATAGCTAAGAAACCATCAGGGGAAATCATCTTCACCCCATGCAGAGAGCCAGCACGACGCCCAGACGCAGCCAAGCCCCACAGGATGCAACAGCAGAGAAAACACCCGCTCAACAAACATCTCCAGCTTGAAAACCAACCACTGGCCAGTCCTAGGAAAAAACCCCTCCAGGACTCATTTCTTTGAATGCTTTGAGTCACTGACACCAGCTGCACCCGTCCCAGGCGGTGCTCAGACTCCCAGAGCTCAGGCCATGCTGGGCGGTGGCGATCCGAGCACATTATCTAGTGGAGAAAGGCCCTGCAAGAAGCAATGGCTGGAATTAAAGCCAGGCAATTGCACGTTGGCAGTAAGGCAGGTGGGGGGTTTTTTTTTAATGCCAGTAAAGGTTCAAACAAACCACGGGAGTTAGGGATTTCTCCATCTCTTAAGATCTTCAAATCAAGACTGGAAGCTTTGGTCAGTACAAGTTATGGGGCTCAGTCCAAGGGCAACGCAGCACATGCAGCATTACGTGTTGTACGGGAGGTCGCGTCATATTCAGGCCTATTGAAATCATATGAAATCCAGGGATTTGTGGCACCGCAGTTACCGACGGCATCGGGGATGGCGAGTGCGCAGCCTTTGATAGTGCAGAGAAGACAGAAGCAGCCCTCTCTGACGAACGACCCAAACCCTGGAAGATAACACCCGAGTCGTAGCTCAAACCAGGTTGCAAAAGGCAGGACCAGCTGGGAGGGTTTTGCTACTTCGAAGGTGGGTTGCATTTCGGTTTGCAACGAAACCCAACGTTTCTGGGACTCTCGACAGAGGAAAACGTCACGCGGCCTCCGGCTGGACAGCCCTGGAGGCCCCGGGACCCCCTGGCTCTGGGGCAAGCCTGCTGCGAGGCCGGGGGGGGCACACCGGGAGGGCGTCAGGTGGGGGTTTCCATTGGAGGTGCGCCAGGCTCCATCACGTGCCTGCTGCAGGAACCATCTCAGGTCGAGGCACATGCAAACACCCCGAGTGCACAAACAGGTGGCACGACCCCGCCACCATCGTGCACGCTCGTGCTGGAGTCTCCCCCACCTGCTCTAGCCGTGGGGTGAGCTCCAGCCCGATCTTTTATTTGGGGCAGATACCGGCACCAGACGTGCATTCCCGCTGCCTCCCATCCTCCTTCCTCGCCGCCGTACCGGGGAACCGGGCCAACCTCTGCCATCAGCCAGAACAGACGACCGCGAACAGCCCACCCACGGCCGACCGGCGCTGGCAGCACCCCCTGCGTCACTGAAGCCCGATTCCCCAGGCGGCCCGACAAGGCTTTATTTAGCTGTGATCCATTCTGAGTTTGCTCCCGGGAAGCGTCACCTAATGACAAGCTGCACGCCCAGGTTTGCAGCCCGAAGGCGAGAGCGCTCGCTCTTGGCTTCGCTCAAATGGCGAGGGCGTAGCCAGGGCGCCCCGCCGGGCTCCATCTCAGGGATCCCAAATGCGACTCTGCGTCAGACCCAGCTGGGAGCCCGAAGCACTTGGAAGAGGTCGTTGTCTCACCAGGGTGCTGGGAACCGCGCGGGGAATCCCAGCCCTTTCTCCTCCTTTCTTCTCAAGCACGGGCAAATCTCAGCCCCTCAAGCCTTACTCTGAACCTCGCCCCCAGGGCCCCCAGGCTCCTGCAGCTCTTGCTCAGCCCCGTGCGGGACAGCGGCTGAGCGCCAAGCATCACTCCTTCCCCGCCCAGAGTCTGCCTGCTTCTCGGTATCGCTCAGCCAGTCCATCCTGGCCGGTCTTGGCTGCAATTCTGAGCATCCTGCTTCCCCGGCCCTCGCCTCCCTCCTCCAGGCTCGCTCCTGCCTGCCCGGGGGGGCAGCACGGCTGTTTCCCGAGCCAGGCTTTGCTTCCCTGCACCGATGCTCACTGGCGCCCCGGGGTCCCGCCTCTCCAGGCGGTTCAATTTGCACGGCGTCATTCCTCTGGGGAGGAGGAGAAGCCTGCCCGTCGCTTCCCAGCCAAAACCTCATCAGTTTTCTTCCCCAAGCTGCTGCGCGGTCCCAGTCCGACGAGACCTGGAGCCTGCGCTGACGCCACGGCCAGTCTGACCTCTGCGATCCTCGCGGCTTCCAGTGGTTTCTGCCTTTCGCTGGCGCAGCTCCCAGCTCTCCTCCCCTTATAGCAAGGGACGAGCGCGGCTAGACTGCTAAGAGACGACCAGCTCCTTCCAGCGGGCTCGGTGCTGAGCCCCGCGACCACGTCCGTGGGGCTCTGCCGCGGCCTCGCAAGGGTGAAGGGTGTCCTCGTTCAGCCCAGCTGTCCAGTCTGCGTGTGAAAGGAGGGTCCTTCAAGCCACGTGGAGCTAGCTGGTGGGAAGGGAGCACTTCCGAAAACACCAGACACCTGGTACAAGATCTCCGGGCCTGGTTGCAACCCCTTCGTGAACTTCCACCTGCCGCTGGAGTGCAAACCATGCATCCATCTCCACTTTGCAATGCATTCGGTATAGGACCCCGCGGATCGGACTGGGTGACCTCCAACCCTCGTTTTCTATTAATTGCTTGACGTGCAAAACTAATGACACACACTGGGACCGCAAATCAGAGGAGCAGGGTTTCTTACTCGTGGGGCTCCCGCTCCGCTTGCTTGGGCCTGGCAGACAGCAGCATCCTTCATCGTCCCTCGGATCGGACCGTGCCCCTTCCCCTGCCAGGGCCCGGTTTATTCCTTAGGTAATAAGTGAATTGTCAGGCATCTAGCTTACGCCAGCAGAACCCTAGATCCACGTTGCTGGACCGTTTTAGCCCATCCAGGTATTCCCCGAGCCCCTGGGTATACGACAGGCAAGTCCTGGGGACCTCGGGTTGGGAGCAGACTTCCCTCAGCCCAAACGATGCTGATGTGGAGGGCACGCTCCACGACCTCCCATGCGGGCTTTTGAGAACAGGACCCTGGCAAGGACTGCATTGATTTCATTGCTGGGTGCCGGTCTGCTGGCTTGAGGGAAAAGCAGTAGCTCTTGGTTCAATCTTTTAAGTTGCCTGCCTGGGTTTCTAATGGGTTGGAGAGGTGCCCAGGCATTAGGAAAGGCACCTTTTCTGCATATTATAAGTTGAAATAAATAAATAAGATGAAGAACGGAGCTGGAAAGCACTTGCCTGCCTCAGCTAAACACGGCTGTCAATACAATACGTCCCCAATAAATTAAATTTTCTCAGCCTTATTGCATTTAAGCTTTTGGTTGAATTAATCACTTTGATACACTACACGTTTCCTTTCACAACACCCCCAATAACTCAAGCGATATTGGAGAGATGGGCAAATAATTGAACTTCATTTAATTCAATCTGGTTAAGTGCAAGATATTGGATACATGCTTCAGCAAATTTAATTGCATTCGAAACTGAAGACGTTTCATATTTTACCCTAAGCAAACCTCGCTCAGCCTTGCAACGTAAGAGTCGCTCTTTTAATAACTGATTTGGCAGCTGGATAATAGGGAGCCTGAGAAGCTGAGGGTTAACGACAATTAACCTGTCTTCTGAAAACCTCCAGACACCCAAAAGCTACTTCATTAAGTAATCCTGTACTTCTGAAAGTCTTCTGCGCTCTCTGCAGAGGCGATGAGACATGAGACGAGTGAAACTCAGGGGGTCGCATGAAAGAAGTGGGAGGAGAAACTTGCACACTTGGGAAAACTTCGAGATTGCAAAATTAGGTAAAAAAATGCCCCCAGCTCCTCTCTGAGGGCACGGCCCCTATGGGCCTGGCTGGCTGATATGGAAGCAACAATGGCCGCTGCCCCTGTATGTCTGGGGTCGTCGCATATTGAAAGAGGAAGGGGAAAGAGGTCAGGAGGAGGCTGCCGACTGGATGCCTTGCTAGGAGTACCGCGTCCCTGCCCGAGCGATTTGTGATCGTATTGAAGTAAGCAGGTGAAATTGTGCAGCTCGCGTCACACGTGGGGCCACCGAATAGGAGCCTGCGAATGGGAAAATGCAAGTCACTACGAACACAAAAACGGGGGGAAAACCACGGAAATCCACGTCTCACAAGCCGCGTAGAGGTTTAGGCAGCGCAACGCTTCCCCGGCACCGAGGGCCTGACAAGCAATCCCTATGCGCTCTTCCTAATCCAGCTGTTTGTTCAGAAGCTCAGCCCATCGCCCTCGTCCGCTCTTGGACTGGGATGAACCAGAAGCCACGTCCCCGAGCTCGCCCCTCGCTGTGGCGGCCGTGTGGGGCCATCGGCGGTAGGGCACGTGGGTCAGCACTTTGAGGAGGCCGATGCCGACACCAGCTGCACAACGGAGGCCGCTGGCAGCGGCAGGAGCAAGGTCTTCAGCTAAAGTTAGGCAACGCGTTTATTATTTATGGAGCACCTGCGTGGCTGGTGCATGCAGCATCTGTGCTTTGCACCCTGTGCATTCTTCAAAGCAGCAAGCAGTTCACGCGTGGACAGCACCAGGGCACTGCTGGCGTGCAGGGAAGGCAGAGGAGGAGTCTGGCAGAGGTCATTCTCCAAAAGGGCTCCCTGGGGAGGTTCGATCGGAGGAGGAGGAGGAGGAGGAGGAGGAGGAGGGGCGGGAACACTGCGCACACGACAGTGGAAGAGTCGCATCAGCCGAGTGCAACTGCTATTTACGGGCACGCTTCCACCCCGGAGATCACACCCCCAGCGTATAAATAGCCTCCCCCCATAGGGCTCTCACACATACGTGGCACGCAGCAAACCGCCGGCTAGTGCCTCCTGGGGAAAAACTCCCCATCAACCAGCCAGCCTCTGCTCTGTCACCTAGAAAGTCCTTG